GTGTTTGTGATTTTTATGATGTCCTGCAAGCAAGAAAAAAATATATATGGTGAGGTCACTCCGAGGGGGTAGCGATAACTGCGAGCCACGAACATGAAGGACTCGCTAACATCCGTCAGGAGTGTGAACGGTAAATCGTCACGCAAACATATTCTCACAAGCTGCAAATATTTATTTGGCTTAGGAAGTAGAATACTAATATACTAACGACATGTGATTATTGTACACAAGATACCATTTCTCGGTTCTTCAAAACCATTTCCCAAGTCTGAACGGTCGCGCTACGGGCCGCGGCTAGCCGTGCCCTCGATAGACTACGGAGCTGCGTTGTGTCGTCTGCTACTGTACCGCCAACAGGAGAGCGATAGCTCTGTGTGTTCCACAGATGCGTGTTGCGGTATAACTCTGTACGTCTGTCCTAGAGGAAGACAAAGAGATAGGCTCTGTGACCCCCTCCTAAGCTAACAAAAACAAACAGAAGTATACTCGTTTGGACTGAAAGGTTTACAAAATAGTGACCAGACATTGGAAAAGCATATGTCACAGAACTTGGTTTATGAAATGGCATCATTGTTTCGAGCAAGAAATCACCTGCTCACCACTGGGACGATGAAATCGTCACTATTTATTGCGTCAGGTATATTTGCGCTCATGAAGAAAAATCTGAACACATCCTTCTCCCAAAGTCCTATGTCGAATAATAAACACTTTTTTAAACATCTATGCACAAATAACTCATTTTTTTCTACACTTGTATATGCACGTTAATTGACGTCAAACCGCATTTTTGATTAGATCTTGATGTCTACACCAACTACATTCATATTTTTTAGGGCTTTATTGAACGATAACTTCAACTATCGTTAATGGAACACGATGGCTCGATCTCGACAAAAACCTCAACGTGCGAAGCTTCCACAGACGGTCGCTAGCGAGTATTCTCAATGTGAGACTTCAGAAGCTTTCGCTTGCCATAGGGAGCTTGCTTTCGACTACAGCACTGCACGGGCCCGGAAAGCGCTGCTGTGTGGAGAGGTTGACTTACAAGATGACGTGTTACGTGGTCACGTAAGATGGCGTCATTTTGTGCAGCGTGATCACGTAAGATGACGTCATTTCGTGTAACGAGATCATGTAAGATGACGTGTTTGTGTCACGTCATCACGTAAGATGACGTCAGTTCGTATGAACTGACGTCATCTTACGACAACGCCAACAACATTAGTGCCGTCCGGAACCATTGACCTTAGAAACGCGCTTCTTCGCTTGAAGAGCTGATATGCGTTGATTGTTATTTGTTTCTTTTGCCTACTACAGACCATTCAAGAACTCGCCTTCTGGGTGCCACCAACTTCGTCTACTGGGCTGTGAAGCGCGTTCGAGCGTGCGCAATACCTCTCTAGGCCGAAAGATTGTACACTGAGTATGCGTTCACAGCTCAATGACTTTGGCATTTTTCGTCAGGATAGATGCTCCCACGAGAAGAGCGTAATGGATATGTGAATAGAATTGGAAATTTGAAATGTTCTTGTCCAATCGCATTTTTCTTTGGTTATCAACGCTTTTTAGCGTCATCACAAGACGTTCAACCCATAATACACTAGTGATTAAAAAATAAGCACCGAAAAACATGCACCGATTTTCGCTCAAAAATAAACACCGAAAAAAAACATACCGTAATCATTACCCATGTCACCTTTTTGGGTGATATGTGAATTTCCAGAAGAACAGCGAGTTATCACCCTCCCCTAGGAATACCCTGACTACAGAGCAGGCGACCCGTTTTACCCCGCGTTAGATTGTGGTGACCACGAACCGTACGGAGGTCACAGGACGTCCGTGAAAAATAAAAAGGAGGCAAACAACGATCTACTCTGTGCACGCTTCATCCCCAATTTCCACGACCCCAAGGCCGAAGGACGTTTGTGTGAAGGATAACAATAAAATAAAACTTTGCGTCAAAAAAAAAAAAAGCCCGTTTTTAAAAGAAAAAAAAAAGTAGAAACAAGCACAACGCGTTGACGGACCGCGAGGTTGTGGAACACCTCGCGGTCCGCTTGCCACAGGACGGTTGTCTTCGACCCATAGCTCCAAGGTGAATTTGCCACTTGCGAAAACACGGAGACCTACCCAGCGAGAACCAGGAAAGCAAGACACGCACACTGACGCCTCGGCGTGCAGAATGAAACAGGATACGGGCGCGGAACACGGCCGCGGAAGAACACCTCGCACAGTGCCGATCCGGCCGATCTCCGAACGGACGATTTCGCATTTCGTGGACAGCGAGCGCCACCGCACGGGAGAGAGAGGTACCTTAAAAACGACGAAAACAAGCACCGACACCTTGGTTCTTTATATTTGCTGTAGTTACAGAACAAATCGACTTACATGAATAATTTGAATATTATTCGATTCCGTAATAAATTTAGAAGACATTAAACGCAATTCTTCTTATGTTTGAATTTAGATAATTTTGTAAATTCGCTCCGAACGCAAGAATGCCGAATTAGCCGATTTTGACCATTTTCATGATTTTTTTAAAGAATATAATTAAATTTATGACGAAACATCTGTTGCGTTTAGTGACTCGATAATGACTCAATGTCTTTAAAGCCGAAATTTTCAAGAAGATCCGCGCAGCCGTTATTATGTGAGAATTTTTTTAATTTGGTGAAAAACCTCATGTATTCTCTATGGGGCTCTGAGGTGCGCCCCCTCTTAAAGGCCCTGTCACACTGAGGCAACAGTTGGACAACTCTATTCGGCAACACAGGGCAGTCGTGTTGCCGGCGACCCTGTCACATCAAGGCAACAACAACGGTCGGGCAACATGTTGCTGCCGCCCGGCAACCGTGTTGCCCGATTTGTTGTCCGACAACCCTGTCACACCGCGCTGACGGCGAGGACAACACGGGGAATACTCCGCCATCTTGATTGTTTACCTTCGTTCGTGTGCGGCGCGGAATCGCTGGAAATGTGACTCTACAAAGTGCTAGTACGTTCCAAGGGCCGGGAATTACCACGGTACGACATCAACCAGTGACTGTGATTAGAAAACTTGACACGGGGAGTATTTTTCGCTCTTTATTTTATCGAAATGTTCTACATTCGCTGACAAAGCAGATAGCCCTAACCGAGGAAAGTGACATCGCTGAGGTATGTTCGGGATTTACGCCACCGTATGAAGTGATTCTGTCCGGTTCTTTCATACAATTCATTTCTACTGTAAAATTGCGTTAGCACCGACAGTACCCCAAAGCGTCTTTTGTAACGTGGTGTTGAGCTGAACTGACAGTGCTTCAAAACTGCGACACCGACACCATCAGCCTTCATAACAATCGGTGAAATAAATATTTTTCAACGCTGTCTACTGGCCTACCGCTGCTACGTGATCGCTTCATTCCCACAAAACGTCCTAAGTATTTTTAAAACAAATCAGGTGCCTGGTAGCGGCTGTTCCCAAGTTCCAAGCATCAACAATCATGATCAGAGTGGTCTTTTTATGTTTCGATTTTCTAATCTTAGGTTTTCTGGATTATTTTTATTATACTTTATTAGTGGGTGAGTAGGCATGCCATTTTATTTCACTTTCCGTAATGTGCGCTGGTCTCTCGGGAGATCTAATTCCAAAACCAGTCTGAACGTTCACGACCGTAGCTGTGACCATTTCGAAAATTGCTTTCCGTAGCTACGCAGCAAAAACATTAATCGAAAATATTTTAGCTGCACGCCAGCCCTAATTATTGTTAAATAACGTTTTCCAAGCCTTTCTTTGAGTAAGACCTTATTGATAGGGGACTAACTCTACCATCGAAGCTATCTATGTTGTCGTGTTGCCGGCCCGAAATTCGCTCAGCCAGCGATCAGGGCAACACTCGTTGTCCAACACAAGTTGCTGCTGTTTTTGTTGCCGAAAGCTGTCATACCGAGGCAACATTTTAGTTGTCGTCCATGTTGTCGTGCAGTTGCCGCGGTGGGACAGCTTTGTCGGACAACACGGGGAGCGAGCAACAAGTTGCCCGACTGTTGGACAACGTGTTGTGTTGCTGTTGCCGTCGTGTTGCCTCAGTGTGACAGGGCCTTAAGAGAAATGAATTACGTTTCGGGATAGTCCGAATGTTTTCTCTGGTTGTGGTGGATCCTACGGACGATGATCCACGACATTTACACATCCTTTAGGGCAGCATCACTCGGCTCCGGCAACTGTAGCCAATGTTTTTGTGTCATTTTTCTCGCCGTTTTTTCTACATACACGTTGTGCAATCGTGGCTGCATTCCGAAATTCAAAAACATACCCACGTCCAGCGTTGCTGCACTATCTGTGTTGTCACGTGATTTGAATTTGACTTGCTGGAGTGACTCACATTCACCTACTCCATGGTTGATGCTTTATTTTTATTGTCACGGGATAAACGGGTTCTAGTAACTCTCAATTACTTGAGTGAACACGAGAAATGACATTCGGAATCAGCACTGATTATGTCAGGGGTTCTCAAACTGGGTTCCGGGGAACACAGGGGTTCCACGAGCTGGTCTCGTGGGTTCCGCGAACACCCAAATTGTAACCCCCCTCCCTTCCCCCCCCCCCCCCCCCCCACGTTTCAGGCTGCGCAACAGGACCATGGAAAGCACCTTCATCTCACTTTGCACTGACATTGCGATTGATATGGTGGGGATATATGGGAAGCAACACAAGCAAAATTGCCTACAATTGTGCATCCGTAGCTTCTCGGTCGGCAAGTATGAGAGGGGTGGGGGGGCGAAGGGGGTGTTGGGGTGTCTATTCCGGTCTTGAACTGTTGTAGGTGTCTTGTCCAGCCTTGAAGGATAGAGTGTCTCGTCCGGCCTTAAAGTGTAGATTGTGTCTTGTTCGGCCTTGAAGGGTATAGAGCGTCTTGTACGGACTTAATGTGTAGAGGATATCTCATCTGGCCTTAAAGTGTTGGTGTCTCATCCGGTTCGGAAGTGTAGAGGGTGTCTCGTCCTTTTCCTCCTGCCAGGGGTGTTTATGACCTTTGGCCTGAGCGGAGTGGTGCCTGCACTGCACTACCTGGTGGCAGAGGGCTTCCTGAGTGCAGTGTACCATGCGTCTTTCGGCTGGCTCTGCCTCATGGGCTCCCTCTACATCGCGGGGGCACTCTTCTATGCCCTGCGGGTGCCCGAGCGCTGGTTCCCGGGCAAGTGCGACCTCCTGGTGAGACGCATCTCTAACTCTCGCGAGGTGACACACAGCACTAAGCCACGCCTTCGGTAAAACATTTGGCCTTTCTGTTTTTGCGACCCTGTTTGCAGAGCGAGTCGTTCTAATGTGGTCTCTTTGTGCATGAGAGGGGTAACCTCACCTTGGGAAGAAGGTGATGAGGCACGGTGAAAGGAAGTGGTCTTGTGTGTGACAAAGCTCCGTCCCCGCAGCCGTCTGCTCCTCGGTCTGGAGCAGACGACAAGCGAGTAACACGAGGCTTCTCGGCCTCCTTGTTCGTTGAAGCGCGTTTGGAAGTTGTTAGTAGACAAAAATGACATACCCTTAGAGTTGTTTCCTGTCTCCTTTCTCAAAGGCTAACTCCTTGCTCGTAAAGAACTGGTGGGTGTCTGAAACTCGAAGTAAAGGTAAGACAACCGTGGCTAGGAGTAACAGACTATGCTGGCCTTCAGCATTCAAACGCCAGATGCAGACGCCTCTACTCCCTCTTCACGTGGAGCAGACGACGGACTTGCTCGCTATGATTGGAGGAAGACAGTGGGTGGAGGCAAAGACAGCTGACCCTTCCGTCTACCCACTATCATTCCAATCAGAGCCCAGCACTCTCTCGTCAGTGCAACCTCTGTGTGAGAAGCAGACAAACTAGCTCGCCACATACAGTTGAATTCCTCTAGAGCAAACGCCACTTCAACAAAATTTCCGCGGCAACAAAGTGTTTACAATTTCTGGTCAGTTTATAAATGAGAGTGTATAAAAATTCTCTCCACAAGGAATGTTTTAACAAGGTTTTCAGGAAAAGAAACTAAATTCATTTACCAAATTTTCGAACTCAAGAAATATAAATTCATCTCTCCATTTGATATCGCAACTGATCCGCGGTATGTGCTACAAATAATGTAAAAACCACAGGTCGTTTCTGTGCTGGGGCACGTAGTGGATCAAGATGACACACTGAAACAATGGAGTGGGAAACCTCTTCATTGCATCTTTAGGTCATGGCAAAAGATAACTTGTTTATTGTATTCGATAAACAAGTTTACTGTTTGGATTATGTTTTTTCCAACACTTGTTTACTGTATTTTGTAAACTGATTTACTATATTTCTTAATCTAGTTTACTGTATTCTGTAAACATTCAACAATATTTCAAAAGCAGGTTTACGAGAGTGGCGTCTGCCACGTCGCTTTGTTCGCAGTTCCACAGCCACCAGATCTTCCACATCCTGGTGATTGCGGCGGCGTTTGTTCACTACCACGGCATCATGGAGATGGCCATGAAGCGGCTAACCATGGGGGAGTGCCACGAGGAGGGTCCACCATTCGACTGAAGCCGGCAACGGGCGCCGGCCTAGCACTACTTTAATCAGTATTCCAGGGGCAGCCGTTTTTTCTACAGTCGCTAGTAATATGCAATAAAGCAGGTGGTTTCTTTCGCGCTTCTTCTCGCTCGTATGTGTGTCGCTGTCATTAATGTTTCTGGTATACCTTTCCTTAGAGGGACCTTCAAACGATTTTGGGACCCAATAACTGTGGGAGTTAGGGCCACTAAATGAGCTACGCTTCAGAGTAATGACATTTCGGCCATCTTGATCTTAAAACAGTTCTCCAGAAAACTTGAAACGGTCTGCGACAGAGCAAAACTATATCACCTGGACTTCTCGAAAATGTGTCTAAAACTTGGTAAGTCCTTTTTTTAATTTTCATTATATATTATTGATATAGTGAGCATTGATTCATATTGCGAATATAATCATCTACGCTAATGACTCGAGTATATTCTTTGCAGACGAATCTGAAGAAGACCTTATGAACAAAGTCTGCGCATTTGTTTTAAATTAAAAGCTTGGGCTGATGTAAATTGTTGGAAAATCGATCTATCAAAAACAAAAGCAATAGTGTTTCGCCCCCATGGTGCGAGTGATAGGGACTCTACGGTCCCTTGAAATTTGGGTCATTCAACATTGAATTTGTAAAGAGCATTAAAATGCTTGGAGTTATTTGTCCTGGTGATATGCTCTGGAAATATGTTAAATACCCTTGCTCTAGGCTGGGCAGATCTGTAGGAATTGTTAACAAGCACAGATGTGTTCTTCCAACAAGCGTTAGAAAGGTTTTATATTATTTTTTTCTTCACATTTGTGTTACTGCCACCTAGTCTGGGGATGAACATCTTGCTCCAATTTAAATTAAATACTTTTACTACAAAAAAAAAGGGGATAAGAATAGTTGCAAATATTTTCTACACTCATCATACACAATCATTGTTTAAATTATACAAAATACTTAAACATACACCAAATTTATAATTGACAATTGCTCACAAGTATGTGGCATATGGATTCTCTAGTACAAAACTTGAGTTATCTGATTTAAAAAAAACAAAAAACAACAACATTGTTCTTCTAGAGATCATCAGCTGTCGCATCTTCCAAAGTGCCAAACAAACTGAAAAACAGAAAATAAGCTACCGTAAAATACCGGGCAAGCGTCCACTTAAAATTTAGAGATAATTGCGAAAAAATGGGAGATGTGCGCTTGTCCGGTCATCAATTTTACATATCAATCTACTGTGCATATTTTCTCAGATCTTAGAAATTTGGGAATGGGCGCTTAATGTGGAATTGGGCGGATGCGCGGTATTCTACGGTATACTTTTTTTTTTGCTGAATAATTATTTTGATAAAGATATAATTTCATGTGCATGTCTAACAACTGCACCCTTAAATTGTTCATTTAATATATATGAATAGGTGCACACATTTTACTGAACGCGTTTTGTTGCGTACTCCGTCACAGCTGCTGAATGGAAGGTCAATGTGCGTTTGGGCAGCTTTTTCTTCGGCCTCCCATTCACCTCATTAGTCTGTGTGGTGAATCAATAATTGTATTGTATTTTAATTGTAACTATCGCACAAATCGCCCAAGTGGCAGTGCCCTCAACAACGAACAGAGTGCCGATACTCAAAGCGTAGCATATTTAATGGGAGTTAGTGTCTGTCTCATCAGCAGGCTGAAGAAGAAAAAACCAGTTATTGTGCCCTAATTTATATTTAAAAAAAAAACTGGTTGAAGTTTTGGGTATGTTGCACTTCTACACCGTCTTTCAAGTCGCGTGTGCACTTGTATGAAAATGTCAAATCAAAACTGGAATGGAAAATGTTGGATCCGGTCCAGATCTGAATTTGGGTGTGAAAAATGGGGCGGCGGAGAAAAGCTCACCGGAGAAAAGCTCACCGGAGATAAGCTCACCGGAGATAAGCTCACCGGAGAAAAGCTCACCGCAAAACCGGCAGATGCGGAGAAAAGCTCACCGATTCTTTTTTTTTTTTTAGCTTATCGGATTCTGCGTTAAACGTGGAAATTTAAGACAATTCGCAATCGCCACTTCATTTAAGAACAAAAAAAAAAAAAAAAAAAAATGTCCCCTTTCTTGTAATATTCTTGAAGGTCATTGGGCATATTTACTGATTCCTCAGGAATTGGTAATCACCCCTTCTGTATATTATTGAAGCCGCAAAAATGATATCAGAACATCGTACACCGGTAAAAAAGACAACAATTTATTAACAACTGAGGGTACGCCGTCGGTAGCTCTGTCAAATAAAGAGGTTTGTTCTTTGTGAGCTAATATGAATAGCGATGTGGTGAACCGTTTCAGCTCCAAATATTCTGTAGTGCCTAATAGTTAAGTAGGTATTTGTTGATGCAATCAGTGTTGGCTACGCTGTTTTCTTTCTGTTAATTTACTAAGAAAACTTTAGTGGCGAAAACAGCTTCGTCCTGTCGTGTTCGTTGTCTTCACTCCGTCGTCGTCGTTTGAGCGGTTTTCATCATGCATAACGTTTACCAACTCGCCCTATTCGCTACCTTACAGAAGACTAGATCTTATGTAGGTCACGAGAAACAATGGTGCCAGTGGGCAGCTCTGAAGGTCACGGGTACTTCGCAGTAGAAGGGCACTATCACACGAAGGCAACGTGTGGAACCACCACCAGCACGAACGGCTAGAAAACGTGCATGTCCGTTGAAGCAAGAAGCCTCGATATCCTACTGACTGTTTTATCTTGTTTTCAAAGGTCAATAAAATCTTTAAAGAGAATTTCAGGTACCGCGTTGTTGCGCATGCACTTTCGGATTTTCGGTGTTTACAGTTTTGATTTTTAGGTTTTAGGGAGACAGTTTTCGAACTTTTTCATGTTATTCAAGTTCATAACATTTTCAGTTAGGCTTTAGTGGCCTAGAAAGTAAGCCGCAGAAAACACTGGCCCGCCATTATTAATTTGGGAGCAATATACTTAATAAGCTCGGCAAATAATACAAAAAAGGACATTTTCTTTTTGACAAAGCTGACGAACTTTAATGATAATAAATTGATATATGTTACGCATGATCCAAAACCCTCCATATAGAAAGAAAAGAAAATTGGTGAGCTTTTCTCCGCATCCGCCGGTTTTGCGGTGAGCTTTTCTCCGGTGAGCTTATCTCCGGTGAGCTTTTCTCCGGTGAGCTTTTCTCCGGGATTCGGAAAAATGTTGGGTTTAATTCGGCGGGATTTCTTTGTCTATTTTCAGATTGGAGGTTTCTTCCTACCCAATTTTAGATGCAGTGCGTATAGACAGTTCCATTAGGGTCATAGCAGAGAGGGTAACAAGAGAAAAAATGCACATGATGGTAAACCTGAGACTGGGGCAGAAAAGAACACAACATAAGGTAGTAAAAGAGGAGGCAACGTCTCAACGTTGCCTTCTCTTTTACTACCTTTTGTTGTGTTGCCTCCTCTTTTGTCATCATGTTCGATCATGTTCAACTTACGCCAGCTCGCCAGCACTCTATTTTTTTTTTTTTTTTTTTTTTAATAAAAAATGCCTTTTTCCTCTCGCCCGCATGTCGTCTGCTCCGCCGAGTGGGCAGCACCTAGCATCCGGCTGGCGTACGAACTCTGCTTAAAATCGCGTCATTTTGGGAATTTCAAGCGCAGATGCGCAGATTTTGGTATGCCAGTTATCGTGTATTACTATGCTAGATAAAAAAGACTAACAGAATCCAATTGCGCTGTTATCTGCGTGCAAATAAAAAAAATAGGGAAAACTGTGTCAGACTGGCCGGTCTCTCCGGCGAAAAGTGAATCCGGTGGCTGTACCTTTTTTGCTATACAAAGTTCGTACTGGTGTAGGCCTCTAGCGACCATGAGTGGATGTCTGAAATAATAAATAAAAACGTGCTCTCCCGCCGCAATACACGCAGTAGTTGAGGGTAGTACTGCCGGCTGATTTAACTGCTATTTAAGTAACGGAAAAAAGATATGTCAGTTGATCATTTTACAAAGGTCGCTTTCTTAAAAAATGGGATCGGAGACAAGTGGGAATCGATTGAAGCGGAACAAGGAGCGTTTCCAGTGAACTCTTCTTTCGACTCCGGAGAGATTTGAAACGGACGCATCACACTTGTGGGAGGAGCTTCTCCTACCTTCTTGACTTGCAACCGACATATAGCCCCGAGAGCGAACACAAGCGTCGCTGCGGTCGCCACGCCCTGATTGGATGAGGTGCACCGTGACGTCAGGGGGAGGACTCCGGTCCGCGCATCGGCTCGCTTCCCAGCATCGGTTTCCTGGTTTGGCGTTGTGTGCCGCAAGCTCTTCGAGTACCTGGACTTCGTTTACCCGGTGTACAAAACGTTGAGTTAGGCCGATATTGACGTGCTTCCGTACATTTTATAAGTTTGCTTGTCGCTTTTACTTTTAAAATTGGGTTACAAATCCCGAAAGAAATCGGCGGAGGCAATTCTGCCGATGAACCTACCCGTTCGTCCACACGACACAAGGCAATCTTGCGAGGGGTCGGTGAAGCGGTGGCGCAAGTGTTTCAGACGCTGGAATTCTGTTCTTTGCATGTTCATGATTTAGGACCATATTACATCCCGCTTTCAAGGCATTTGAAGTGGCATTTATATCATGGGCCTTTGGGTGGTCGGCAATTTAGCTCGCGAACCCGACTCTGCGCTGCCACTCTGCGTGCGCTGGTTCGCAGATGTTTTAAAGGCCCTGTTTCTGATTATCTTTGAAGTGCTCATAGCACAGGGTTGTTTTACATGAATGTAGTTTCTTCGCGAATTATTATATAGTTTATACACGTATGCAGGCATATTTCTTAGAAGATGCACAATTACTGGAAATTAGTTTGTATGGTAGCAGCAAAAAACGGCCGAATCGCCCCCAGTTGCCTGTATGATATTTATTGAACTGCCCAAAATATGCACAGCAATAGTGCCGTAATTTGGAATGTTTATACTTTTTTCCTGACATTCTTTAGTCCAGTCTTGCGTATTCGGAAAATACACCGTTTAGTCTGAATTGTCATTTCCAATTAAAAGAGACACTGCTGCAGGTCTCCCAAAGCTTCCTCAGCCTCCAAACTTCCTACAGCTGGACCCTGTGACAA